GAAAAAAAGAAAAAAAAAAGAAAAGAAAAAAAAACAGCCAAAACTTATTTTTTCTCATCTTCTTTTTAGAATCGTAAGATGACAAATGACACCCACAAGAAAAGAAAGAAAAAGAAAAAGAAAAGAAATAGAGAGAACATACGTAATTTTCAAGCCTTTCTTGGTGTAAACGTATTTCTTTGGCAAAAAAAAAAAAAAAAAAAAAAAAAAAAAAAAAAAAACAATGATTTTGTGACATATCAAGACATTATCGTAACTGGCAGTTGCAACGTAGGAAGAGAAAAGAAAAGTGGAGAAGAAGAGAAAAGAGGATGAACAAGGATTGCTAAATAAAGAAAGGGAAAAGGGAAAGGCGACAATTATAGAACGGAGAAAGGGAAATAGGAGGAGAAAGAGAGAGAGGTGGAGGGAGAGGGAGAGGGGTGGGAGGGAGACAGACAGAAAGACAGACAGACAGAGAAAGTGAAAGTGGTAAATATAAAGGTGGAAAGGTAAACAGACAGATAAAGGATACACAGATAGATAAATGAATATTTTAATAGTCAGAGAGAGAGAGAGCGAATGAAAGAGAGAGAAAGAGAGAGAGAATGAGAAAGAGAGAGAGATACCCACCACCCCACACCCATACACCCTCACAGATTCACACCCAACCAAGTTCAAAACACAACCTAAAACGCGCCCACCCACCTACCCACCAACCCACCAAGTTAACCAAGCAACCAACGAAGCCAACAAGCACCCCACACCCCACCCCAAACAAGCACTCCCCCCTCCCCCACCCCCACCCCTCCCCACCCCCACCCCTCACAAGCAACCCCTCCCCCCCACCCCCACCCTAAACAAGCACTCCCCTCCCCCCACCCACCCACACCCTCAAACAAGCAACCCCCCCCCCCACCCCACCCCCAAAACAAGCAACCCCGCCCCCACCCCCAAACAACCCCCCCCCCCACCCCCACCCAAACAAGCAACCCCCGCCCCCCACCCCCAAAAAAGCAACCCCCCCCCACCACTCACCCCCAAACAAGCACCCCCCCCCTCCCCCCTAAACAAGCACCCCCCCTCCCCCCCAGCCCCACCCTCAAACAAGCAACCCCGCCCCCCCTCTTCGACTTTCCACTTTCCTCGCTAGCGGAGCACACGAGTTCGAAGACAAACAAGCAGACGACAATGGGAACGTACGATGTAATGGGCGCAGCGACCGCAAGATATATTGGACATTTTTACGCGAGAAAATGGGGAAAGGAAGAAGCCGCTGGGAGAGGGGGGTGACGTCACGAACGCGGGTTCACTAGACGCGGATTCCGGATTCGTAAATGCGCGAACGTCCCGGATCTTCGTTCTTGGCGTTGGCTTTTGAGAGAGGTAGAGGGTTGATCTGATTAATAAGGGACAGTGGATATCGTTCGTAGATGGTGACGTCACGAATGCGGGTTCGCTAGTCGCGGATTCCGGATTCATAATACACGAACGGTTTGACTCTTCTTTTTAATGCTGGTTTTTAATCCCAGATTCGCTGTATATAAGAGGGGTTAATTATTTCATATAGGATTACTACTCTATTACGTTTTCTTAAAGGAAATATAAAGCTTAGACGGTGACAACACACATGTGGCTGCACGCGGATCCCGGATTCACAATACACGAACGGCTTTCCGGTATTTTGGGCGGGAATTCGCCGAGAACACAAAGTTAAAATTGTCATTTCCTATTATAGTTATCTTTTTCTTCTTCTTTTTCCGTCTCTTCCGAACTGGCTTTCCTCTTTACTTTTTTTTTTCTTTCTTGTTATCGTTTTATCAAATTTCATATATATTTAATTATTTACTGTGTATCTGCTTTTCTTACTTCCCTGTTCTTCCATTCATACATCTATCTATCCCTGTTCTTCCTTTCTATCCTTGTCTATCGATGTATCGCCTTTATGCCCTTCGTTCTTTTTTTTCTCTCTCCTTTCTTATTTCGATTTTCTCTTTATTCCTGCTTTAAAAAAATATATAAAAATGAATAATGATGACAATAATTGTAATGATGATAATAATAAAGATAATGACAATAATAACAATAATAATAATAATAATAATAATAATAATAATAATAATAATAATAATAATAATAATTGTAATAATAATAGTAATAATGACAATAATAAAAATGTTGATAATGATATTAATAATGACAATAATAAAAATAGTAATAATAATGATGATGATAATAATGATAATAATAATAATAATAATAATAATAATAATAATAATAATAATAATAATAATAATGATAATGATAATAATGGTAATGATAATAGAAATGAAAATGTAAAAAATACTACCACTACAACTACTACTAATAAATATCATTATAACAATAGTAGTAATAATAATGTTAATAATAACAATAATGATAACGATGAAGATGAAATTAACAATAACGATAATAATGATAACAATAATAATGATAATTATAAAAAATGATAATAACAACAACAACAATAATAATAATGATGGTAATAATCATAATAATAACAACAACAATAATAATGATGGTAATAATCAATATTAATAATAGACAACAACGACAAAATGGAATAACAATAATAATGATGTAACATAAAATAATAATAACAACAACAATAACAATAATCATAATCAACAACAATAAACAATAATGATAGTAACAATAAATAATGAATAACAACAACAACAACAACATATAATAATGAGGTGGTAATAAATAATAACAACAACAAATAATAATGATTAAATAATCAAAAACCAACAACAATAATAATGATGGTAATAATCATAATAACAACAACAACATAATAATGAAATAATCAATAACATAATATACAACAACAACAATAATGATGGTAATAATCAATAACAACAACAACAATAATGATGGTAATAATCATCATAATAACAACAACAACAACAACAACAACAATAATAATGATGGTAACAATAATCATAATAACAACAACAACAATAATAATGATGGTAATAATCATAAACAAACAAAACAATAATAATGATTAATAACATAAATAACAACAACAACAATAATGATGGTATATCATAACAAGTAACAACAATAATGATGGTAAAATCAAATAAACAAACAACAATAACAATAATATGATGTATAACATAAATAATAACAACAACAACAATAATAATATAACGATGGTAAAATCATAATAACAACAACAACAACAATGAAACTACTAAATCTCTCGAAAAATCAGACCTGGCGTTGGCAGCCCTGCCCGTCAGACCGCCAGCATTGCCAACCGCGCCGAATCCCCCAGGACCTGCAACCGTTAACTCAAAAATGCTGAGGATTTTTTTTATTATTATTATTACTATTATTTTTCAGTTGCAGAAAATAACGTTCCTCATATTTCGCTTTAGTGTATCTTTATTTTTTTTATTTTCGTTTTTTTTTTTCTCTCTCTCTCTTAAGCAAGATTTTTATTTAGTAGAGATTTTTTTTTTAATAAGTTTTTTTATATTGTTTATATTCATGGAAGACGAAGAAGAAAGCGAAAAGAGAATAATCGTGGGTTATCAAACACTCTTAAAAGTAAAACGAAAATAGGCAATAAATCTAAGAAAAAATAGAAAACGAAGAAAGGAAGATGATAATCACAGTTACGATAAAAGAGGAGGAACATAAACAAATTATTCTACAGGTATTCTTATAAGAAATTCCTTCAACTTGATCCTGAAGAGAAATCGTGTGTTTGTTTGTTTGTTTGTGTGTGTGTGTGTGTGTGTTGTGTGTGTTTGTGTTGTGTTGTGTGTGTGTGTGTGTGTGTGTGTGTGTGTGTTGTGTGTTTATGTGTGTGTGTGTGCGTGTGTGTGTATGTGTGTGTGTGTGTGTGTGTGTGTGTGTGTGTGTGTGTGTGGTGTGGTGTGTGTGTGTGTTTGTGTTTGCGTGTGTGTGCGTGTGGTGGCCTGCGTGCACACCCGACCCTCCGTCCGCTCCGGCGTGGCGCATCCCGGCGGCGCAGACGGCGCTCCCGAAGCCGTGTTCCTGACCCGAACAATCAACAGTAATGTCCCGCGTGTTTGTCATTGTCGGCCCCCTAGCGGGCCTTTCTTAAACTAGTTATTGCCCTCTTCCTGTTCTAATGCCGGCGATCCTTAGCATGTCAGCAGCATATTATTTGTTAAAAATTGACGCCAGCCTTTTGCCGGGCATCGGAGTTTATCATGGGCGTGGGCTTCGGTATGATGGCTTCCCGGCGGTGGTGCTGTTTCCTCCCCCGGGGATTCCGGCGAGGAACCGGCGCTTCGGCTTCGCGCTGTTTCGTGCGGCCGAAAATGCACAGCTTCTCGCACTCTCTTGTGAAAGGAGGGAAACAAACTCATATACACAAAAAGATACACTCGGGTTAGAAGCATGCACTCTAACACACAACACCACACACACACTCACACACACGCACACACACACACACATATATACACACACACACACTTACACACACGCACCTTCAAACAACAAAAACAACAACGTGCAACATCCTTAAAAATGAAACACAGTCTCTCACACAAAGAAGCAAATACTTGGACAAAGAAAAAAAAAAAGAAATAAAAAAAAGAACAAGATCCTCTCCCTCCTCACACAAACACACCCACACTCATCCCGTCTACGTCTGTGTATGTCTTGACACATTTACATAAGTACAGCACATTTGCCAAAGGCCCCCTGCCATCCGACTGCTCCGTCAGCGATGCAGCGCCACTGCTGACACCCTCAGAGCAGCCGTCAGCAATACACCGCCACTGCTGACACCCTCAGAGCAAGCCGTCAGCATACACCGCCACTGCTGACGAGAAGCCGTCAGCAATACACGCCAGACACCTCAGAGCAAGCCGTCAGGCAACAACGCTCAGCTGCGTGAGCAGCCGTCAGCAATACACCGCCATGCTGACACCTAGAGGCAGCCGTCAGCCACTGCTGACACCCTCAGAGCAAGCGTCAGCAATACACCGCCACTGCTGACACCCTCAGAGCAGCCGTCAGCAATATACCGCCTCTCTGACACCCTCAGAGCAGCCTCAGCAGTACACCGCCACTGCTGACACCCGTCAGCAATAAGCCACTGCTGACCCCTCAGAGCAGCCGTCAGCAATACAACCGCCACTGCTGACACCCTCACCGTCAGCAATACACCGCCACTGCTGACACCCTCAGAGCAGCCGTCAGCAATACACCGCCACTGCTGACTCACAAGCCACCGCCACTGCTGACACCCAGAGCAGCCGTCAGCAATACACCGCCCACTGCTGACACCCTCAGCAGCCGTAGCAATACACCGCCAGCTGACACCCTCAGAGAGCCGTCAGCCAGCCACTGCTGACACCTCAGAGCAGCCGTCAGCAATACACCGCCGCTGACTGCTCGACAATACGCTGACACCCTCAGAGCAGCCGTCAGCAATACACCGCCACTGCTGACACTGCAGCCGTCAGCAATACACCGCCACTGCTGACACCCTCAGAGCAGCCGTCAGCAATACACCGCCAGCTGACACCCTCAGAGCAGCCGTCCAGCAATACACGCCACTGCTTGACACCCTCAGAAGCAGCGTCAGTGCAATACACCGCCACTGCTGACACAGCCGTCAGCAATACACCGCCACTGCTGACACCCTCAGAGCAGCCGTCAGCAATACACCGCCACTGCTGACCCTGACCACAGCTGCTGACACCTCAGAGCAGCCGTCAGCCACTGCTGACACCCTCAGAGCAGCCGTCAGCAATACACCGCCACTGCTGACACCCTCAGAGCAGCCGTCAGCAATACACCGCCACTGCTGACACCCTCAGCAGCCAGCAGAGCAGCTGTCAAATACACCGCCACTGCTGACACCCTCAGCAGCGCAGCAGTGACGTCAGCAATACCCGCCACTGCTGACACCCTCAGAGCAGCCTCAGCAATACACCGCCACTGCTGACACCCTCAGAGCAGCCGTCAGCAATACACCGCCACTGCTGACACCTCAGAGCAATCAGCACACGCCACTGCTGACACCTCAGAGCAGCCGTCAGCAATACACCGCCACTGCTGCACCTCAGAGCAGCCGTCAGCAATACACCGCCACTGCTGACACCCTCAGAGCAGCCGTCAGCAATACACCGCCACTGCTGACGCATTGGATGCGTCTCAGCAATGCCGCCACCTGACACCCTCAGAGCAGCCGTAGCAATACACCGCCACTGCTGACACCCTCAGAGCAGCCGTCAGCAATACACCGCCACTGCTGACGCCTCCAAAAGCGTCCGTCAGCAATGCAACACCGGCGCTGACACCCCATAAGCGGCCGTTTGCGATGACAAAGCGGAACTTTCTCCGGTCGCTCGATCCGATGCTCTTTCGTTTGTTAACGCATTAGACGCTCATGTTCCGTGTCTTCGTTGCCTCTATAAGGCGGCCGGGGTTCTCGCGCGGCCTGCTAATGAGGCCGGCGGACTTGGGGTGGGGAAGGGGGGGGGAGGGGGAGGGAGGGGAGGGGGGGAGGGGGGAGGGGGAGCCAGCGGGTTTTAGGGGTTTCGGTGAAAATGTATTTTTAGGAATTATCTATGTATTTGTGCAGGTCGGGTTGTATGTATTTGTATATCATGTGGCACGAGAGGCACTCAAAGATTTCCCCTGACTTACTTTCACTTCTCTAGGAGGCAGAAGTCTTACATGCATAAAGATACACATTTGTAGCGTATTGTTTTCCAGTCTTTAACTCATATGACATATTTTCTGTTACAGCAGTGAAGGTGCAGTGAGGAGTGAAAATGGAACCAGTGGAGTATCAAGCAGTGATAAGGTTTTCAAGTTCCTCTTTTGCGCCCACCGCCCGCAGGTCCCATCAACGCCCACCCAAATATTTCATTGTTTCAATAAATGTCATTATTCCCCAAAAAAATCTGATTTCATGACTTTGAAAAGCTGTTCTCTTGTCATGCTTTTTAGGGAAAAGGATTTTACAACTAGATATGAATGAAAAGTGTCATGATATCCCAACGACTATAATCTGATATCTTTGAAGAGCTGTTGTTGTCTTCTTTAAATGCTTGTAGAAATAAAGAATAATAAAAAAAACAGCTGTGTCAGTTTTTTTATTTTGCCCGGACACCTTATGAGGAGAGGATGCCTCATCATAAGATGCTGTTAAATATTTGTATCGCCAATTCAGGTGTAGGCGAAGACCTGTGGTAACGGCTTCTATCCCAGGACGACCCCAGCTGATAGGGACACCATCCATCAAGTGGAGAATGCCTTTTGGAAGATCGCACTAAAGGTGTTCGTCAGCTAGCCCAAGATGTCAAAATTATTGTAATGCCTGTGGACAAAATCATTCATATGTTTACACAAAAGTTGTTTGCTTGATGTGTTCCCATTCTACTCACAACACGTGCAATTGCCATACAACTCGTGAAAATCTCTCTTAACGTGGTCACGCTATCACATTTGTGCCACAAAACACTATCCGTC